GACCAGGGGCCTGGAAGATCGTAGCGGTTAGGGTTAACCTCCTTAGCCTTAGCTCCTGTCGATAAGTACCTACTGAAGGCGGCATGGACGATAACGGCATGCCAACTAAGTCAATGACCGCAATCGTAACCTCCACTTTCGAAAACATTTCAACTAGCCATCACACCAAAGGGCTGTATTGCCTTTGGAAGATTATCCGATTAGTAATAGGCATAGGCCGACGATTACTGACAAACAGGGGCGATAATAAGCTCACGGGTGGTTTTGACGTGTTGGTGGAACGATAATCTTTTCTGTCTTTTGGACTCCACTGGTTTACTGGGCGCGAAAGTTTGCGTAGGTCCGAAAATTCAAACACATACCTTTTAATCTGTACTTTCCTAACGATAGCTTAGAAGCTTGCTCTTGCTTCGAGATAACCATAGAAAAGCCATGTCGATCATTTGCGTCCAAAGACAGTCCAAGCAAGTAAATTTCATACTGTTGTAAACTTAAATTATTTAACTTCATGAAAGTGGTCGATGTCCAACCCTTCAGGTAGACTACTTAGGTCCCACTCGATCACAGTCGACTCCGAGACCGATAAAAATTCCACTTGGAAGACTTTGCAGTGGCCCAACTCCGGGCGCCTGTTGCAAAGCCCCGCCCTTTACGCGTACGGGTGGCGGTCTGGTTCCTGACTAATCACAGCTAGCCAAACGGATCAGTCAACTTCAAGGCCGACCCAGACGCCCTCACTGAAAGCGTTGTAACGACTGCCCCACCCGTACTGGAGATGCCGCTCTCACAGTGCCCGAGGTGCTTTCGTCCGTCTGTCAGTTTCTTATAACCTATCTTTGATCATGCTGCACAGGATACAATATCCTCATAAGTGGCGTTTAACTACTCTGTCTATTCGGGACCGTGCCGAGGGGTTGTAGTGGCTAGGGGCTCTCTATGGCTTCTGCTGCCACAATACCTTCGTAATTAGCCAATCACAAAAACGGCCTCTTAGATGGCTACGCTAGCGTTTCCTTTTTCAGCAAGTTGTCAGGTCGAAAGATTAATGTCACTCTAGTTTTTCTTTTGTGCAATCTAATATACTTCTGAAATACGTTTCTAGACCAGGTCTCCGTTTAGCGTTCCACTCAACGACTTCCTGTCCGCGAGCATGCCTTTGTTTGCGACCACCATGAGGTTTACTAATCTATCCGACTAAGGATTTATATAGACTGACCGTTATACAATCGGCTATTTGTATTCAGTGTTCGGGACGCTTTTTGTTTATGCCGTCCCTACTATTGGACATATAAGTCTCTTCAAGATCCACCCAAACGATACTTGACCTCTTTTGAGGACACCATCCAAATCTATTTCTGTAAATTTGGTTTACAATCCAGCACAAAAAAACAGGGAACTACTTCCGTTGGCCTTTAAAGTTATACCCGCGTCTACGAAAGGTACCGTTTTCACAGTGTCCGGGAGCTGTTTCTCCATTGGCAAAATAGGAGACGAATGTCTTGTTTAGAATAATCTGTGTATAAGCTACTTACGAAAGAACCTAGCTCTTATTATTAAACATTCCTTTCCGCTTAGCGTCTGCAGCTGTACAGTGGTGTGGTGTGCGGCACAGACTTTTAGGCTTACATTTTTGTGAAATTGTTGGTCCTTGCCGTTTCTGTAGACCTCTCCCTGACTCTTCGACCCACATCAACCGGTAGGATAACATAGACATGGAGTAGCAACTACAACATGTGTTCACTGGAATTTTTCGGTGAAAACTTTCAATGAGTAGCGTTGCTTAACCTTAGTTTAATTTCTCCGCACTTTCGATATGGGAATAAGATACGGGCGTCGACATGCATGCCGGAAGTTGTCATGCCCATTTCTTTGCTTTATCAGTGACCTCGGTTACTGAGTACTTGCCACTAGGTGACTGCCTACGAGGAGCCTCAGATTGAATCCCATAGGCTCACGGAATTGTTCATATTCCGCCCGGCGATCGAGGTAGGTCGGTAGAAGTTACTTCTGGGGTTATTAAATATCTTCGTTCGCAACCAATAGGACAGCCAGTGCTTGGATTCGTGATAGAGCGTCTGATTTTATGCTCAGTGGATAAAATATTTCCGGATCTGGTCCCGAATTCTCTTAACCTAGGGTCGTGGAATAGCTGCCTGAGAATGACAGGTATTCCCGAAATGGTAATTCCAGTCTCCTCTGCTTTGTAGACAACACTTAGCTTTCAGGGTGTGAACGCATACGTTCACATCCAAAGTGAGGTTAGCTCATGTACGCTCTTTGCATTTTGACAGATCTGACATTAACTCAGACACAGAGGGCGCAGATGAAGGGCAGTCCGGGGACCAGAGATCATCTCTTTCTCACTCACAACTGAGTTCCTGCAGGGATACGATTGACCAGTCTGAGGGTGAGTACAAGGAGTTAGAACGATCTACTGACGGCCCCAGTGACGAAGAGGATCAGTACACTCAGAATGAAGATGATGAGGAGGCCACAAAACCGAGCAGAGCCCAGGAGGAATCTGAAGATGATGTGGATAAGACTTTGGGAGAGACATCAAAGCTCGCTTCAGAAGATCGATCTCCTGTCTCCTCTGAGCCGTCTCAGGAAATGAATTCTCCACCGACACAGCAGCCCCCAGATATCAAACGATTTTGTCCGTTGCTAAAACTGGCAGACGCAGCTTGCCTGCGCCGGCTGGAGCTCAAGAGTGACCGAAAACACCTCGTAATTTGCGGAGGACATGATATACATGAGGTGGACGAGAACTCCCAGTTCATACCCGGGCCGCTGGATTTTCTCCAGAATATACTTCAGAAAAGGAGGAACTCGAACACTGTCAATTTGTGTAACATAAGGGAAGTGACCATTTGTGGTTTTCCCTGGCGTGCAGTGGTCAAAGAGCTTAGCAGCCTGCGAAGCACTATGCCGCATCTTGAGGTGACTCCTATCTTTTCGAATAACATCTCACTTTTGCAGACTTTGAAGGTGCCCGTTCAGAATGACAAAAAACGTTTTGAGAGTTTTATGGATTTTCGTTTATCAATTTGATATATCCTCTTTGTAATAACGGTTGGTTTCTGTAGGCGACGTACTCATGCATGCCTGACTGGCGGGGCTTGGGTTTTGTGCAACTATTGAAGAAGTCGTCTGCCGGTAGAAATTACGAAACGTTCTCTCTTATCATAACTTAGGCATACCACCTCCTTACTTGTAGAAAGTATAACTGCTTTTCTGACCTGAGCGAACATGTTCATCTCGTTGCATAAACGAATTGTTTATTATCCCAACGTTTTGAAAACATACAGGTCGCCGTCAACGGAGGCAATACTGATACTCCAGGTTGTGGCATCATTGAGGCGCGACTTAATAACAGACATCTGTCTAGCCACGGGGGCAGAAGGGGAAGTGCAGGCAGAATAACCCTACTGACAACGACAGAGGAGACTGGAAGGGTCATTTCTTGCTTATTAGCCGTCATCAGCCAGTCATACGCCATCCCAGATTTTGCACTACCCGATGCTCGAACCCACAACCTTTTGATTAGAAATCCAACCTTCTAGCCTGTGAGCCACAAATTTGTGTGGAATCTTGAAAATGACAGAAGTGCTCCTTCTAGATCTACCGATGAACGTGAAAATTAGGCGACCTGTTGGTGATCCCAATCCGCCAGTAGATTGGGAAGTCTGTTTGCAATTCCAACCACACTGTTCATGCTTAGGACGTACTGCCGATATGCGTGTTGGTTGCTGACTGATTTGTGCAGCTCTGGGGTTACCAAATGCTCGTAATTAAAGCTCGCATCTGTATCTTTTAGCTCATAAAAGCTCTCGGGGATAATTCTGTGGAAGCTTAATTTACCTCCCAAAACAGCATATATTTCGCCAAAAATATCTACTTACTTTGTAACAGTAGGCATGTTTTCTTTTACACGGAAATCTTACTACGCCACCCCCGCCAGCAAGTATGGTTACTTAATACGACACATTCCATCCCAACATACGAAAAACCACCTACGCAAATCTAATTGGGCCATTTCGGCAGAGGTATCGTTAGTAGCGCACTTTATATGCGCTTAACTTCAGGCTTGTGTCTTACGGATAGTGGTAGAGTAAGGGTAAGGGTGTGTGTGTAAGGGTAAGGGTTAAGGAAAGGGTTACGGTAACGGTAAGGGTTAGATATAACGAAATATATGGGCAGTTACTTATAGTAAACTATATAATCGCGAATCGAATTTCTGTCGATTATTCCTCTGCCCTCTTGTTAACTAGGAGGCTGCAGCAGATCTCAATCCATGGATAAAGTTT